AACGTAATTAAACTTTTTCCTATTTCCTAAACTAAATTACAAAACTGCAATAGAAAATTCATCAACTCTTTAACAAATGTTAATTTGAGCACTCGATTTATTTATCAATTGTTTTATAAATGACAATTGTATTCGAAATAAATGAACAATGCAATTTTTCATTGTTTCAACAAATGAAAAGCAATGAAAGCAATAAATTGTGTTTTTTTATAGACATATAAATTTTACATGATTTTACAATTTTGATTGAAGTGTGTTTTAATTACTGAAATGCACTCTTCATTTTAATTGATTACGAATTCATTGCAATCAACAAAATTAATGACCCAAACTCGTGCATACATAAATAGAATGTTTCAACGATAATTGATTTTGTAAATTCATTCTATACTCAACATATTCTCATATTATTTCTCAACAAAAAAAAAATGTATCGGAAACGCATTAGGGTTTCTATTTATAAGCAATAACAATACTTTTTCCGTCCTCAAATTACATTTTAATTACGCGCACGGATTCCAAAATTAATAATTAAAAAAAAAAAAAACGGGAAATAAAAGCTCGGATTCGGATGGAAACGCGATAGTCAATTATTCAACAAAACTGGAATTTGTTTTTTTTTGTGTTGTTTCTTTATCATTTGTTGCTGTTATTTTGTGTTTCCATGGAAACTCATATTTCGGCGATTCGTGTAATGATCGAAGTTTGCTGAAAGCCGCTAATGGAAACCTCAGGTTATAATTAGTCAAAGTTAATTATTAAGCTGTAAGAGGATTTTCGGTGGGAGCGGACGAAATGAAATGTACGTATTCGCGAAAAAACAAAAGTTTCCATGTTGTCAAATATTTAATTTCTAACAGATTACTTGATTTATTTATATATTCTTCAATATAATGAACATTTTACACATTTTTAACAGATATTTCAATATTTTTATTAATAATATGATTGCTACCAGTTTCTTGCGGTTCATTGCGGTTAGAAACCGGATATAAATAATTGGAGACGACCGGAAATTGGCTTCAAGGCTCTCACTTGTTTTAAAGTGGCGCACTTCGCTCGAATCAAAATGGTGAGAGACCACTTCGGGTCAAATGGTTAATAAGAGCTGAAACAAATTTGCGTTCTCGTATGTTGATGAAAGCAACAAGGAAGTATACAATTTGCAAATGAAAAAAACACACACAAACATTTAATTAAATAATCATTGATTCAAACTTAGTTAAAAGAAATTATTATATACTCATTGGAAAGGTAATAGTTTTATCTTTAATTTACATTTTTAATAATCAAATTATCATCAATGGTTGTGGAGTAATCAATTAATATGTGAATACACTCTTTTTTCTAGCCACTACTATTTATTGAAATTTGACAGCTTATACAAGATGAATTACGAACAATAGAAAAGTAGTAATAGTCTCATTGGAAAGATCACAGTTTCAACTTTTATTTACATTTTCAATAATCAAGTTAGCGTGCATGGTTTTCGAGTAATTAATTAAAAAGTAAAGACTCTTTTTTTCTAGCCACTAATTGTTATTGAAATTTGACAGCATGTAAAAGATGAATTACAAACAATATAGAATTAGTAATAGACTTATAGGAAAGATCATAGTTTCAACTTTCATTTACATTTTCAATAATCAAGTTAGCATGTATGGTTTTTCGAGTAATGAATTGAAAAGGAAAGACTCTTTTTTTCTAGCCACTACTTTTTATTGAAATTTGACAGCTTGTAAAAGATGAATTACGAGCAATAGAAAAGTAGTAATAGACTTATAGGAAAGATCATAGTTTCAACTTTAATCTGCATTTTCAATAATCAAATTATCGTGCACAGTTTTCGAGTAATGAATTGAAATGTAAAGTCTCTTTTTTTCTACCCACTAATTGTTATTAATTGTTATTGAAATTTGACAACTTGTAAATAATGAATACCGAACAATATAAAAGTAGTAGTAGGCTCATAGGAAAGAACATAGTTTCAACTTTCATTTACATTTTCAATAATCAAATTATCGTGCATAGTTTTTGAGTAATGAATTAAAATGTAAAGCCTCTTTTTTTCTAGCCACTACTATTTATTGAAATTTGACAGCTTGTAAAAGATGAATTACGAATAATATAAAAGCAATACTAGGTTCATAGGAAAGATCATAGTTTTAACTTTCATTTACATATTCAATAATCAAATTATCGTGCATAGTTTTCGAGTAATGAATTGAAATAAATATTTTCAAAGTTAAAATTAATTATGAATTTTTCAATCAAAAGATTCGAATATTTGATCAAAAGTTTCAAGCTTATTGTATTGATCGTAGGTTCCCGGTGTAGGTGATCAGTAAAGCTCATCCCGTTGGAAACTCGTTCACGCGGAAATTCACCTGTATTTGAGTGCAGAAAGAATGAACAAAAAAAAAATTGCGAAAAAAAGCTCTATTCTATTTATGAAAGCTGTCCGATTTTTTTTTGGTGTGAACGTGTGTGTGTGTGTATATATATTTGCTCGTTTCCATCCGGCCGTTTCTTTTTTGTTTATGATAGGATGATGAAAATTGGCACGTTACTTCCGGTTCGCGAATCAATCCTGTATCCAGCGGGCCGTGAAAAACTCTAAAAATAGAGCGAGAAACCTCTCATCCCAAACCCATCCTCATCAATGCGAGAGCGAGATGTAAATACACACACAAACATGTAATTGAGTGAGAGAAAGAGAGAGAGAGAGAGATGATAAATATATCCGAAGAGGATCGTTGGAATCTTCGTGGTCCGATGGAAATTCGATCAAATACATTCGAATCGCCGCGCGCGTAATTTCCACGCAAAACTAAATGTGAAGCCCGGCGCCTCCGCACTCGCACCCGTGCGCTCATCCTGTTTGCAACAGTTTTTCCAACTCGTTTCCTTCCATTTTCGCTTCCACTTTCAACGACGAAGATTTCCACTTTCTCCTTTTTTTTTTCCTGTCTCGACCGCTGGAATTCGACACTCAATTTTGCCGAAGGTAAAGAACTTCAATTACCAATTTATTCACTTGATAATTCAACCAATCATAACGAAGAGTTTTCTTTAATTACTTGCGAAAATTTCTATAAAATTTCAACACAATTTTCATCTAAATAAAATTTAAAAAGAAACAATCTTAAACAATTATAAAACTACTTCTTATTGAAATTTAACAGCATATAAAAGATGAATTACGAATAATAGAAAAGTAGTAATAGACTTATAGTAAACATCATAGTTTCAACTTTTATTTACATTTTCAATAATCAAATTAGCGTGCATGGTTTTCGAGTAATGAATTAAAATGTGAAGACTCTTTTTTTCTAGCCACTACTTCTTATTGAAATTTGACAGCTTGTAAAAGATGAATTACGAACTATAGAAAAGTAGTAATAGACTTATAGTAAAGATCATAGTTTCAACTTTCATTTACATTTTCAATAATCAAATTAACCTGCACAGTTTTCGAGAAATGAATTCAAATGTGAAGACTCTTTTTTTTCTAGCCACTACTTTCTATTGAAATTTGACGGCTTGTAAAAGATGAATTACGTACAATAGGAAAGTAGTAATAAACTTATAGGAAAGATCATAGTTTCAACTTTAATCTGCATTTTCAATAATCAAATTATCGGTCATAGTTTTCGAGTAATGAATTAAAATGTGAAGACTCTTTGTTACTAGCCACTACTTCTTATTGAAATTTGATAGCTTGTAAAAGATGAATTACGAATAATATAAAAGCAATACTAAGATCATAGGAAAGATCATAATTTCAACTTTAATTTGCATTTTCAATAATCAACTTTTCTTGCATGGTTTTCGAGTAATGAATTGAAATGTAAAGACTCTCTTTTTCTAGCCACTACTTGTTATTAAAATTTGACAGCTTGTAAAAGATGAATTCCAAACAATATAGAAGTAGTAATAGACTTATAGTAAACATCATAGTTTCAACTTTCATTTAAACTTTCAATAAACAAATTAGCGTGCACAGTTTTCGAGTAATGAATTAAAATGTGAAGACACTAATTGTTACTCAACTTTGATAACTTGCAAAGTAAATTTTTGATAAAAAATACTTGTTATTGAAATTATCGTTTTATATTACGTTAATAATGCTGGTTAAATCTATACTAAAATGTATATACTTTATAATAAATTCATGGGTGTATTATATAAAAAATAAGATACATGGCAATATAATAAAGTTACATAAAGAAAGTTAACGTTTATCGGAAATAAAACGAGCGTTCGTGTCAGCGGCAGATTTTCATTGTGATCGGATAGGAATTACATAAAAGTGGCAAGACGTACATTTAGTTTCACTCAATAACAAACAATAAAAGAACTCGTGAATTGAGAGATTCTTTTAAATAATGAAAATTTACAATATTACAACAAGAAATAAACATGGTTTAATTAATTAATTGCAAAACCACATTTAAAGAAAATTATTTATAAATTATGAGTTAAATCATAGAAAAAAAAAGATATGTTTCTAAATCAGTTTTCTGTTTCGATTTATATAGAAAATTGCAAAAGTTTATGTAAGTAGGTAAAGTTTTATAGGAAATAAATCATGTCGCAAACAGACTTTCAATGCGATTTATACCTCATATGAGATATTTTTAGACACGTTTGTTGATTTTTTTGAACTAATTTATTAAAAAAAATGACGTTGTCATAAAAGAAGCATTACTATTTTGTTTCGCTGTCATTTGTTTTGTGTTGAGGTTATGACAATTTTCATTTGACAGTTTTATAGCGAAGACTATCAAATATGATATTTCAATATTAGATTCTACCTACTATCATTGAAAATCATAAAATAGTTGATAAATAATTGTTCTTTAAAATTCTGTTGTCATAAAAGTAACGTTACTATTTCAATTCGCTGTCATTTCTTTCCTGTTGAAGTTACGTCACTTTTATTTTGACACTTGTGTTGTGCGAATAATCCAATTTTATATTTTTTTGTTTGTTTGCAGACATACAGCAGTGGAGGTGGATTTGAAGCAGCAGAAGGAGAAGGAGGATTTGGTGGGAAGAAATGGTGCTTTCAATCAGGCGACGGAGCAGAGGCAGAGACGGAAAGGTAACGTGACCAGATCAGAGCCGAATCTGATCGACCCCAAGGAAGATGAACAGCAACAACCGATGATGCCTTCCTGCTCTTCCTCCTCCTCGACCAATGTCAACACTCTTCCGGAGAAGATGTCCAAGATGCACCTGAAGAACCGCATGCTGATGGCGCAATCCAACAGCATCGCCGGAGACTGCCACAACTCGCAATCCACCTCCAGGCCGATCTTTCCGAACTGTCCGTTCTCCCCTTACGGAAGTCCAACAGGTATAATTCAATAATTCTTTCTGTTCTAAATTAAATTAAATTGTTATTATTTTCAGGTTCTCCAAGAAGCAATAGAAAGAGACAACCGCTGAAGGAATCGAGGCGCGTTTCCATCGAAAGATCGGGAATGTATCTTCAGCTGAACCAATACAAACTAATGGACTCTATAGGACAGGTATAAATAACCTCACTAACCTGCTATAATTTCGTTACCTATAACTCTTTTTTTATTATTATTATCCTCAGGGCTCCTACGGAATCGTCAAGTTGGCGTACAATGAAGAGGACGACACGCATTACGTAAGTTTACGATGCACACTTCACATTTCATCTCTTTCCTTGTAGAAAGAACAAAAACAACACTATTATTATTACATATTTCATAAAAGCTTTCACAAACATCACTTTTTAAGTTGTCAATTTTGACATTACTAAAGCCTACTTCATAAGTTATCAAAATATTTATAACTGTCATTTATTGCAAAACCTGACTCTATATCTTTTCGAGATTTTCTCTAGATCTAGGAAAAACAGGAATATGATTTATCCCTTAAATTAAAGACAAATACTTAGGGAATAAAACTTGTGTAGGGGTGTTGTGTTGTTAGTACAAAATATTCACTTTTCTCGGAAACTATAATAGATTGAATGGATGCAAAAGTTGCATATGAAAGGTGGATGTTTGGAGAAATTAAAACAAAAAAGAAGTAATGAAGTAATAATGTAAATCTTATAATTTTCTAAGTTGAAAAACTTCGTTTTATATATAATTGTGATAGGTGATTTATTATGGATTTGGATCATTCTTTTGAAAGTATATTTAGTGTACACTTTATGTAAAGCAACTCAAAGTATACGAGATTACAGGATCTTAAATGAACTCTCCGAGAAACTTCCATCAATTAAGCAGCAGATAAAATTTGAATAATTTCGTTTTCGCTTCTCCAACAAAAAAAAATCGAAGTGTCCACGGCTGTCTCCGATTCGCGACTTATTACAACTAATTAAAACTTTCGCCTTTGTTTTAATTAAAATGTTTAGTCTCTCTCTCTCTCAATCACAAAATCTATAAATTTTCTTGCCTCGTCCAATTTACGAACAAGAGATGTATTGAGACAGAGACAGAAACGAGAATTAATTTGTCCCACCTAATTAACACTCCGATCACGTTTACCGAAGACGACGACGACGAGGACGGAACAGGAAGGACGGGCGTCGATATTAATTAACGTGGAGAATCCGCTCGAAATTTAATCGTTCAACAGGTACGAACAGAGACGAAAGAAACGAACAACAAAAAAAAACTTTCTTCAGACAATTTGAATCGGATTTTCATCTTACCTCGCGTTGCGTTTAGGATCGATTTGTTTGCTCATTTGTGCCGGTGGTCGTCGTCTGCACGCAGCACGTTTATTGACCAGGTGAACAAGAAAAAAAACCCTCGTTTTACGTCGGACGTTAATCGCATTCGATTTGTTTTTTTTTATCGTTGTTTGCGTTATTTCGCTAATTTTCCGCATGACATCTCCAATAAATTCAATAAAAACAATTGAATGTATCAATGTCACCTGTCAAGAAAAAAAGAAATGACAACTGATCGTCGTTCTTCTTTCCTAGATTTGCATAATTTTCCGCACAGTATATTCAGTATACTTGTTTATTGCATGTAATCAATTGTTTTCATGGCAGGATTTAATTGTCAAATATAAATTATGACAGTTGACAGAGAGTTTCATTATTTCCCTAATTACCACAAAAAAGAATCAACGTACTCACGTTTCTTAAGGCAACTGTTTTCATGTCAGGATTCAACTGTCAAACTAAAAGGTTGACAGCTGATCATCAGTAACAATTGAATAAATGGATATTCCGTTTGTCTTTAAACTTAATCGAAAACCAACACAAGAAAACTATTTCCAATCTGAGTTTTCTTGAGTTCCGATAAAGATGTCAATTTTTATTCAAATTATCGTCATTGCGCTCTCACTAAATATCTGCATTTTATTGATTCCTTCATTTAAAAATGTGTAAAATCAGCGCTGAGAGACACATTTATTATTATTATTTATTTTTTCCTCTTGTTACAGGCTATGAAAATTTTGTCAAAGAAGAAGCTGCTGAAGAAAGCGGGAATGTTCGGAAGGATACCGCCGGTGCGGAAGGAGGGTAGCAGGCCGCAGAACACGTCTCCGTTGCAGCGGGTCTACAGGGAGATCGCAGTGCTGAAGAAGCTCGATCATCCGAACGTGGTGAAGCTGGTGGAGGTGTTAGATGATCCCGTCGAAGATCATCTTTACTTGGTCTTCGAGCTGCTGGAGAGGGGCCAAGTGCTGGAGGTGCCCACAGATAAACCTCTGTTAGAGGACGAGGCTTGGGCGTACTTCAGGGACGTCATTTTAGGAATAGAGTATCGTGAGTACATCTTAATTACAATCTTAACTACAATCTTAACTATAATCTTAACTGTTATCTTAACTACCAAATTATACTATATAAATTAGTTTCCATTTAAACCAAATTAATGAAGTTTCTGAATCATTTTTACGACAACTTTGAAGTTCCACAAGTATCCGTTTTGGGTCTTTTACAATTTAATGTTTTCTTTATGTATAGTTCATTACCAAAGAATAATACATCGTGACATCAAACCTGCGAATCTTCTGCTGAGCGAATCTGGTAGAGTTCAGATCGCCGATCTGGGTGTCTGCAATGAATTCGATGGATCCGATGCTTTCCTTTCCTCGACTGCAGGAACTCCCGCTTTCACCGCTCCCGAAGCTCTAGGTGAACAAAGATCTGAATTCAGTGGAAAGGTAACTTTAAATATATTTATCATGCGTTTAGTGTAATATCCTGCTATGTAGGCTGCAGATATCTGGTCCATGGGCATAACTCTGTTCGCGTTCGTTTACGGAAAAGTACCTTTCTACGATGATAACGTCGTAGCTTTGTACTCGAAGATCCGTCATCAAACTGTAGACTTCCCGGTGGAGCGTAAGATCACCGAAGGACTGAAGAACCTTATTGGATTGATGCTCGTCAAGGATCCGAACGTTCGCATCACTCTACCAGAAATTAAGGTATTTAAGTACATTTTTTTTTTAATGAAGTTGTATTGAATCTGTGCTTGTGATTGTTTCAGGAACATAAATGGGTTACTAAATGTGGAAAATGTCCTTTGCCAAGTGAAGAGGACAACTGTCACCTGGTGGAAGTGACCGACGAGGATGTGGCTCAAGTGATCACGTCCATCCCTAAGCTGGACACTCTGATACTCATCAAGCATATGCTCAAGAAGCATTCGTTTCAGGTAAGGAAAAGAAATTTTATGACATTTATGAATTTGACATTTATGAATTTGACGTTTATGACATTGATGACATTGATGACATTGATGACGTTAATGACATTGATGATGTTAATGACATTGATGACGTTAATGACATTGATGATGTTGATATCAATTTCAGAACCCGTTTCTGCACAAGAGAGATGCGCAACGGCACAGGCCGAGCAATCCAGAGATGAGGGCACCACCGAACAGGCAGCACATCGGTCGAACGGGACGTTCGAATTCCGCTCCGGATTCCTGCGATTGGGATCGTCAGCTCTCCATCGAAACCTCGCTGGAGGCGGTCACGGAGATGACATCGGAGGCGGCTGCGGCGGCGGCCGCCGATAAACGGTGATGATGCGAAAACAAAACACAAAACGATGAAGAAAGAATGAGAGAAAAAAAATGAGAAGCGCGATATAATTGACGTAGAAAAAGGAAAGGAAAAAAACACGATGACGAAGATGAAGAAGAACCTCAAGGGACCATAAACGTTAAGTGTGATGCATTGACCATATCATATTACAAGAAGGAAAGCAACAAAAATACACCACACGAGCGGAATCTCTTCCTGGAAATATAACATCTATATAATATGTAGAATGAAAGTTTAAGGGAAAACCGTATTTGTTGCCCGGACAACAACAGATTTTTTTTTTGTAGCTTAATTGGGTGAATGATAATATTTACATGCACAATTCTTTCAGGGCTGAAACGCGTTAGGACGTTCAATGAATGGTTGTTGCTATGGAAACGCAACAATAGATATCCAGCATTTAGTGTAGCTTCGGTTTGGAAACTCTGAATTCTGATAGCTTTTGCTTCATTTAAATTAGATTAGATGAAAAAAAAAATCAACTTTTACAGAAATTTCAACGCTCCAAATCTTGAAACTATAAGCGGTTTTATTAATATTGCGACCTGAAATCCATGAGAACATGAAAATCATGTAATTGAAGAACCACGTAGCGTCCGTCCAAGAACCGAAAACCACATCCCTTCACGTACAACGAAGTCCTACGTTTCTCTACATTCAACGATCGTCTCGCGTATTTTTGCCCAAGAAAAAAAAAAAGAAAATTTTCGAATACCTGAATGTTTTACATGAAACACTTATATATTAAACTATATTATATAATACGTGCACTAAATCGTGCATGGTTAATAGCTTTAAAAAAAAAACAAACACAAGAAAAGTGAAGAAGAAACAAAAAAAAATAGACGCAAACGTTAATCGTTTGTTGCTCAAATTTCAGTAGGTCTCGTTTTACGACTTTTCAATTTATTACAAAATTATGTTAAGTATGAGGTTTTGTTATAATCACTAAATGAAATAGAAAAAAAAAAACAACAATTTCTTTCATTTTTCAATAAGTCGTAAAACGAGTCTTCACCTCTACATATTTATAAATCTCAATGTTGTCTCGTATCTTAGTTTAGCTTTTCACAAACAATCATAACTTTCTTCCAAAACAAAAAAAAATACAACTCTTAAGCTAAATGTTAAAACCCTTCGGCTAAAAAAAAATCTATCAGTTCCAATAATGATCGTCGTTTACACAAGATATTTTTTATATTGATACTAAATATATATATATATATATTATACATAAAATTTAAATATTTAAGAGATAAAAGAAAAATATTTATAGTTATTAGATCATAGTTGATATATATGAAACCGTTGAAATAATTGTGATTGAGACAAAAGTGTTGTTTTTTTTTTAATTTTTAAATTGAAATATGTGTAAATACAAAAACTGACTTCCACGTCGAAATGCTCAATTATTTATTGTTTTTTCATTTAATTTTTTCGTTGTAGTTATTTTATAAATTTCATTGTAATTGAAAGTAAAGCAGATATTCTAACTGACGAATGCATTTGGATTGAACCGTTGCATTCGATTAAATTTAAGGAAATTTTATTAAATAAGTTGAGGTCAAAACGTGAATAGTTTCTAATTAATTCGTTTCGCCGATTATTGAATTAAGAAAATAATTCTTAAAACTTAATGTATTGTATAAATCTGTGGAAATGTACCTCGTTTGTGATATTTTTATACTACTGTTTGCATCTCCATGGAGATTCATCTTTTGTTACATTTCTCTCTCTCTCTCTTTTTTATATACGTGTATATAGTTATATTAAGACATCCCTTCGATTCTTTTTTTTTTGCAATTTTTGTAATTACTGTGTACATGGGCGACTTTGTTTTCGCGTCGTTTTATTCTCTTAAAAATTGCTTATATACAACTTTCAGAAAAATAAAGGAAAATACTGAAATATCTGAATAAATAGACATTTTATTTCATTACACATAACATTAATCACTTATTGTTAATTACTTCTTTAATAAAATTTAAAAATTAACACTAATTGCCTAATTTGCACTTGCAATTTTGGAATAGTTCGGTTGACCGTCATCAGATGGCGATGAGCATGCTTAATTTAACGCTCATAACTATATAATTAATTAAGCAATCAACGAAATGATTCAACCACTTCACAACAGAACTAAAGCTTTATCTTTTGGCTAATATAAATAATGAATTATGCCGTTAATTAAAAATCTTTGATTTGAGCAGCGCCAAAACAGCTGAACTACGATCATTCCCAAATAACAATCATGTTAGTAGAGTTGCGGTGTGCTTAAAGATAATTTTTCAGGCCATCTCTTGGTCATATTCCAAAGTTTATAGTTCAGCTCTTTTGGCGCTGCTCAAATCAGAGATTCTTAATTAGCGGCTTAATTAATTATTTTTATTAGACAAAACATAAAGCTTAATTTCTGTAGTATAATGGTAAGGTCATTCCGTTGATTGGTTAATTAATTATATAGTTATGAGCGTTTAATTGTTCACGATCAGCGACATCTTATGATGGGTAGACGTACTATTTTCAAAAACGTTTTTATAAGCATTGGAAAATCGAAGTCTTTACAAATCTATATAACTATATAAGATACAATAATGAATGAGCAATCAAAATAAAGCTGAATGTTTGGGCTTTCCAATGTGTGGTCTGTTATATTTGTAACTATTGGCGTTTTCCTACAATTTAGTGTTAAAGTTGAAAAAACGATTTTCTAAGCTTCGAAAAATGGAAGTCTT